ATTACTGATGGCAGAATACAAAGCCAGTAGCAAAACACCATAATCCAAGTTCGATGTTCTTTTTATTGTAAAAATTCAAATTCTTCATATTTCTTTTAAGTGACTACTTAAAATTCAAAATCTACTCCTCAAATCTATAACTAAGCAAAATTAATTTCTCCCTTGAGTCCTTTCACTTTTTCTTGAAAAAGCTTTATTACTAATTGTTATTAATAATTTTATGATAATGTTGTTCAGTTTGGATTTTTTGAGACAATGCCTTGTTATGCTGTCTAGACTGGTCTTGAACCCCTGAGCTCAAGTGATCTTCCTGCATCAGATGTGTTAGTAGCTGAGACTACAATTGTACACCTTGGTTCTGATCATTTACTATTTCTGAAAGACAGAGGTTTTTTATAGATGTTTTGAGCAAATTCCAATACTATTCCTGTAATAGTAAGTATCTAGTTATAATTAAATTATTTGTCTCTGAATACTTTTTCATATTGCATTGTTGGAAGATGGATGCAAGTTCTCCAAATACCTGCAGATTTATTATTATATCTAGCTAAATAATAATGGCTTGTACAATACAGTGTTAAGTCATAAACTTTGATTTCCTCCACTGACTTTAGCAGTCACTATTCCCTATATACTTATTGTACAACTATGAAGCTCATACTGCATGATATATTCCTTTATATTTTATTTCTACAACTGAACAAGCATTTTTCAAGGCCCAATACAAATACCACGACTCACTTTCCTACCTTCTATTCCTTAAAACACTGCTGATTATACGATGTCTTGATATCAATACTGCATTTTCTTCATCTTAAGTCCCATCATTGAACAAGTGGTATATCCTAGGGCTCCTTAGCTGACTGCTTCGCAAAAAAAAACAATCATGCACAGAATGGTTTAGCATCCTCATAAAATGCATAACTGTTGGTGGACTGGCCTCTGAACACTGTTCTATAAAGAAGAGCTATTTTGTAAGATGTTCTCTGAGACTACAAGGTGAAGTGCTTGAAGTAGCAGTGAAGGAGCTAGGCTATGAGGTTTTTACACATGAGACCATTTATGATTTTATTTAGATGAAAAAGGGGAAGAATCATGTATTATTAGTGACATAATTTAGAAGAAACTTTATAGATTTTTGCTCCTAAGCTTGATTCTGTAAATCATTGTAATAACTAAAGTTAATACTTTGAAGTAAATTTTTCTTCAATATGTTGCATAAGAAAACCGAGATAAAAACATTAAAAGGGAAACATCTCATTCTCAAAAATATAAGAAGATGAAAAACCAAGGAAATTAAAGCTGAAATTTTATAGGTTTTGAAGCAAACCAAGAAAATGTCTTATTTCTGATTATCATAACTTCTGAAATTCGCACCTTCAGTTTTTGACAGGACATAGTATAATTTATTCAAGCAGCGAACTTACGTTGTATCAAACTGTGAAGATAAAAACTAAATGAGGTAAAGATAATTGATTCAGATGAGTTATTTCTGTCAAGTTTTGTGCTTTGGGAATTTATTCTGTAAGCTTTTAATTATTATCACTTATCTGAATTTCAAAGAGCTAAACACAGATGGTTTTTCTTTAATTTGTTAATATGAAAACTAAAAGCTATGCAAGAATTACTTAATAAAACAGCAATATATGAGCAAAACATAAAATCTTAATATACTTCACTATGTAAAAATTCATATTCCTTATACTCTACAACGTTCTCACTTTTTAATACTCTTTAAAATTTCCCTTTAAAATTTCCTATACTTGATGCATTATGATGGTGAAGTTTATTATTTATCTAATGTATTAGTATTTATCTAAGTTTATTAGCTATATATCCTTTGTTCTGTAGACTTTACCTAACTTTGTTAATCTTATTCTAAAATTTAAGAATTATGGAGGTATAGAAGAGATGAAATATCTATGCACTTAAATGATAATCAAAGAAAATGGTAGACATTTTATAATAAGTAGCAACATTGCACTAATCAAGTTTATGCTAGAAAACAACAGGAACTCAAACACTGCTGATAGGAATACAAACTGACACAACTACTTTGGAAACCTAGCAGTATTTGATAATGCTAAATGTGAACATATCCATGCTCAACCGGAAATCCAAGTCCTCTCCTGTTTAAGTGGATACAAAATGTGTATGTGTTATCACCATGCATAACACTCAAATGCATATATAACATTTCTGCATTACCAAGACTTGAAATATCCAACCATAGGAAAGGACTAAGTTAACTGTGATGTATTCATACAGTGAACTACCATATAGTCAGGAGAACGAGTTATTTTCAGTGATATTCTAGAATTCTAAAATAGCTGGTATTAGTGAAGATTAAGTCAAATAATGTTCAGAAACATATACTTGAAGGAATGTATAAAGTTCAAAAGCAGAAAATACATAATTGTTGCATTAATTAGCAGAGCAATCACCTGTGGACAAGGTAATACCTGGGAAAAGATAGGGGTAGGTAGAAGGGGCAGTTAATTTCACAGGGATATTGAATAAATTTGTGATCTCCTCTCCTGGGTCTATTCACTTTGTCAAAGTGGAAATTTACTGGGGTATTTTCACTGTATATGTGTGTGTATGAACATATATGTGTATATACACATACCTATATGTCATATCTCAACAAAATGAACACTATTAGAAATCTATTAAAATGTTTGTATGAGGAAACTTTAATTATAAATATTGATAGATTCTGATTATTCTTTTTGACTTCATATTGCCCTGGAAAGAGTTTCACAAACTTCATTGAAATAAAAGGAAGACATTTTGGCAGGCTACAACACAATAGGTTTATTATAGTAAGTAATAGTGCATTTTATATTTCAAATAGCAAGAAAAAGATCTTGAATGAATATTTATCAAAATCTGATAAACATTTGAGGTAATAGGCAGGTTAGATATTATGACTTGATCATTACACAATGTGTACATTTCTCAGAACATTACATAGTACCTGTAAATATGATCAGTCCTGTGAACCAATTGGAAACCAAAAAAACTTTAAAAATAATAATTAAATTCAGAAATAAATGAGTAGGTGTAATAACTAACACTATGTCTTTGTCCTTATTTTTTCCTTTACTTGTGTCCACTTTGTTCAATATATCACAAATAGACTTCATGAGCAAATAAAGGTCTTGAAAGCTGTTTAATTTACAAGTCATTTCCAGTAGAGGGACCTTCTCTTTCTTTGGTGTGAAATTCCTCTTTTCAAGAGCGATCACTGAAAGTGAATATATTTAATTTTTACAAGTCATTAAAGTTCTTCATAGAATATGAGCTAGTCTCATGTAAGTCTAGTCTAAGGTGGAAAACTATTATTTATTAATGGAATAATATTGTATGAAGAATATGCACTATGTACCTAATCTATCTATATAAACTTCAATACTAGATATGCCTTCCATAAATCCTCTGTAGAATGTATTAATAAAACAAACAGTTCTAACTAAAATAGCTGGTATTAGTGAAGATATGTAATTATAACCACAATCATCAAACTGAAACACCTATCTTGTAAATGTCAATGAAACTAGTCACCGATCAGATCCAATGACGATAGCTATGTATCTAGCAAGGCATTGTAACAAATGCCAGAGTGAATTGCATTATACAAACTTGATCTCAGCGACTAAAGCAGCTTAGTTACTCAGCCTAAATAGTTCTCAAGTAAACCAAAGAGATTTCTTTGAAAAATGTATAATATCACTTATAACATTAAACATAAAAATAACTATGACATGATGAGCTTCTAGTAGAAATTAAGTTCTGTACTCTTCCCATTCATTTTTCATAAATGTAAAAGCTTCATACACATTTTGTTTATTATACATGAAATTTCTGGCTATTTAAGAGCTATAAAAATTGCTGAATCATATTAAAACGTTTTTTACTGAAATATTTTGCTCAAAATGGTTCAAACCCCAATTTTAGAAAAAATAATAACAAGAAATATAAGAACCTTCTCAACTAGTTTTTATTGGATATAAACGTATCAAAATAATATCACTTTCTATAAAATGTGACATTTTATATGTTATGACATATTATATGTTATTTAAAGTAGTCCAAAGAGTAAAAGTTGACATCTTAACCCAGAAAAGAACACTGCATATTTTGAAGAGAAATCAGAGTATGCATATGTAACTCTAATTATTTAGGTTCAGCTCCACTGAAAAACTTATCAGTCTTAAAATGGAAATCTTTTGGTAATTAGATGGTAATTGTAAAATAAAAATTATATTGGTGGTTCAAACATTTATATGAGCAGTATCCTGTGTTTCTTTGCTTTATTTTTTTCTTTTCTTCTTCTCTTGCAATTTTTGATTCAGGAAAGGGACTAAATTATCTTATCCATTTCCTAATCTCTCAAGCTTACAGAACACTACTATAATGTAAAAATATAATGTGATAAGTTTTCCAACAATTTCATAAGCTATACATTTGCCATAATGCTTTCTTCAAATAGATAGTTCAGGCACAAGAACATAGCTAATGACTTATTTATAATATTTCCTTCCTGCATTTCTAAACTAGGTCATTACAAACTAGTACCTACAAGGCCTTTATTTTTTGATCATTTCATTTAATATCTGGATGCATATTCAATATTCAGTTTCTCTGATCAGTATATTTGAATGCTCTGTATTTCTGCCTTAACAAATGTTTCATAACTTTTAATAAGGAACAAACTCCTGAAATACACAATTCACTTAAAAAATGAAACTCTCCAAAACAAACAAACAAACAAAAGCCATATGTGAGATGTCAGCTTTGGAAATAATTTGCCTTTGTCGAGTAATCTCTGCTGTAAATAGCACAAGATGCCTGCTATGAGAACACACGATCAAAGGGACAGTCCCAGCAAGTCAACCAAGCCCGGGCACATTCCCCAGCGCCAACCATAACAAGTGGCTGCTACTGAAGGCATCTGCTTATTGAGTTCTTCTGGCGGTAAAAGCGAGGCCACTTACCTGAGTAACAATGCGGCTTCCCAGAAGTAAAATCCAGAAACTAACGTCCTAAAGTGTCTCACGTGGGCCATGATACGGAGCAATGTTCACGATCCCGAAAGTAGTCTTATTCAAGGCATGGGACACCCAGAAGACAGGCAAGGAAGACGTTCCATCGAACCCACTGGGTTCTCCTGGAGATGGATGTCCGGGTAGCTTCAGCACCTTAGACAGCTCCCCGCAGTGCCCGGAGACCCTGGAGGAAACGCTGCAAATTCTCCTTCGCACCCTTCGCCTGAGCAGACTGCGAGCCCAGGGGGGAGTGTCAGTGTCACCAAGGAGCGAGTGGTTTACCCAGTGGAGCCAGAGGAAGGGACGAGAAGAAGAAGTGCATGCGGTGCCTAGGTGGTGAGCAACAGTTCAACGAAGCTCTATCTGCAAAGCAAAGAACGCTCTCCTCTGCTCTTGGATCAGACCCAAGGCTGGAGGAGGAACTGCAGCTGCAGCCAAGCAAGGATGCTTTTCCACCTGGTCCAAACGCCGCCTGCCAGCGCCGCTGGAATCTCGCCTTCCACCTTTGGTGAAGACGCAGGGAGCTCTGCAAAGGGGGACGGGGGCGGGGCCAGGCCCAGGAGACCCCCCCCCCGTCCTGCCCACCAATCAAGACCTCACAGCGGGACAGAGTGACAGGCCATTTACAACGGTAGGCGGTGCTTAGCATTTTACCCTTAGGCTGAAAAAAAAACAAAACAAAACAAAAAAAAAACAACACTCAGAAACTGGTGCAGAGCCCAAACAGATTGGAGCAAGAACTGGGAGAGTCAGCGTTTTGGGTATTATTAGGTAGCAGAAATCAACCTGGAAGAGACCTTCCCTTCCGAAAACCGAAGGGCAAAATAAGTAAAAGCAGTCTTCTTTGAGGATGTGACCCTGTCTCCCAGACCCTACATAGCAATGCCAGAGTCCACAGAGGCCCGGCCTTAGAAAGGAAGAGGACCTGCACCTGCAGCCTAGGCGCAGGCAAGGGCGCCCAGTGCTCTAAAACACCAAGCCAGCTGTGGGTCAGTACCTATGGTGGAATGGGTAACCCGATCAATGATGAGGATCACAGAAAGATGAAGGTGGGAAATCTAGGCATACAAATATACAACACTTCCTTTTTATGCCCCCTTACCAAGTTTGCAAATCATAGTAGGAAGCTTTGGAAGGAGAACTAGCTTATAGAATATCATTTAACTCATTTCTTCCTTTTTTTTTTTCGTTTCAGATGTCACTCTCTCCTCCCTGTCTCTGGGTCTCTTTTCTTGTATATCTTTCTTTCTCTGTGTCTCTGTCTCTTTTTTTTTGTCTGTGTGTATCTCTGTCTCTCTGTGTCTGTGAGTCTCTCTGCCTTCCTCTCCTGACCCTCTTTGTATGTCCTATGATCATGTACATTGGTTCTTGGACTGAAAGACAAGTGTGTGTGTGTGTGTGTGTGTGTGTGTGTGTGTGTGTGTGTGTGTATGAATGTGCAATGCATTTCAAAGTAAATGAAAAATTTAAAATTAAAGACCTATGCTCTTTCATCTTAATAGTTGCCTTTATTTACTCTCCATCAGGATCAGTAAGGTTCATTCCTTGAAGGTTAGCTCCGCCTCCCCCCTATTTATTCTGAGACTTCTATTTTCATCCTTTAACTTTTGTAACTACTAAGCTGCATGTCAAGTATGTCCTCCTCATCTTTCTTACTAAGTTTTCTTAATTAAATATCAAGAGGCATTGACATATGGTTATTCTTGAAATCCTTTATTTAACTGGAAGAATGTAAGCCACCACTTTCTATCTTCTCAAGTGAGGATAGTGAATGTTTTCTTTTCTACTCCCACTTTAGTAAATAGCACTTTGCATTCATTAAGCATAGGGTTTTCTGCGTTTATTTCTGTGCATTACTGTTCTGCCCATTTTCTTCACTTCTAAATTCTAAAACTTTATTTATTTGCATAAATTGGCTGCACAAGGGAGTTTTCATTATGATCTTTCCATGTGTGCATACAATGTGTCCCATTCAACATCACCATGCTACCATTCCCCTTTACCATATGACTCCTTTCTTAAAATAATTTCAACACCTTTCATTGTTCTATTTTCATATATGCCATTAAGCTACTTTGATTATATTCATCTTTAATCACCATTTTCCTTAGCTCTGTCCTCTAAACAAAGTCTGATTTAAATTCTTGACATTGATTTCATTAGTGTGTAGTAATTGGTCCAAGGAGTTTCCATGACATATCAGATGTGTATATGTTGTACTTTCATCAAAGTGGTTATTGTTTTTCCTTCTTAAACCACAAATTTCCCTGAAGACTCATAAAGAATAACAACAGTTCTCCCCAGGACTATTTGCACCTTCAGGAGAACCAGACCGATTTTAATTAATGTAGTTGTTTCATCAATCTTTAATTAATGTAATGAATCTATTTATTTAGTCAGTTATTGTGTGTGTGTGTGTCTGTGTGTGTGTGTGTGCGCCCACGCGTGTGCTCTTTTTTAGGGCTTGAACTCAGGGCCTGGGCTTTCTTGCTCAAGGCTAGTACTCTACCACTTAAGCCACAGCAGCCTTTCTGGCTTTTTGATAGTTAACTGGAGGTAAGAGTCTCATGGACTTTCCTGTCCAGGCTGGCTTTGAACCTTGATTCTCAGATCTCAGCCTCCTGAGTAGCTAGGATAACAGTGTAAGTACCAGAACCAATCTTCTGAAAACTCATTCAGCATAGATGATTCTTGGAATAGCAATTCAATTGTTTTAAAATTCATGGATAATAAAAACTGTAATAACAATTCACTATGACTTTACCTTATGAGCAAAATATTATCTCTACTATGATTTTTACTGCTTTGTATCTTTTTAAAGAAAAATCATCTAACACATTCATTAAAACTAATCAAGAAGACTTCAAGACTCATCTAAACTACCAATACTAGCCTGCCCATTAGACCATACTAATTTGGTCTAATACCAAAGTTTAGGTCTTAAAAGCTAGTATGGAGGGAAGACAGAATACTTTGAAAGAATAAAAATGAAGAATAACAGTCACATACAGTTTGTTGCAGTCAACCATAAGCTAAAGGACAGGTGGAAGGGAAATGTGGAAAAAAATTGTCTCAAGTAAATGCAACAACGAAGACTTGGTGTAGTTATAGTAACAGGAGACACAATCAAGGAATAGTTTCACTAAAAAGGTGAGACATTTTCAAATTTGTATGCACATAATAATATAACTTTAAAATATTTTAAGCAAATCAATGGCAACTATAAATTAACTTCTATAGTGAAATATTTTAATGTATTATGCCAAAACTTTTAGGACAAACTCATAAATCAATTGGTATATGATTTTTGAAAAAATATAATTAATATATTTTATTTAATGAGGTTATACAACAAAACCTCCAGTTTTGTAATATGCACTTTCAAAACTTGTTTAGGATGTTTACAAAGTCACACCAGTGACACAACAAAGAAACAACTCAGTAGTCGGGGTAAGCAAACTTGCTTTAAAAAAAAAGTAGATTTGGGATTATAGGGGAAAAACAAAGGAGGAGGCAACAATACTTGATAAGAAATGAACTCATTACCTTGCTTAGGTAACTGTAACCACTCTGTACAGTATTTTCACAATAAAAAACATTAAAACAGAAAGATTTCTTTTACAAAATATAATTTGTTTTTTTCTTAATATATATTTTTCTATTGTAAAGATACTGTGCAGAGGGGTTTCAGTTACATGAGCAAGGTAATGAGTCCATTTCCTATCCAGCATTGTTACATCCTTCTTTATTTTTCCTCTACCATTCTTTTCCTCCCCATCTCCCCAACTCCTCTCTCCCCTCTCCTACCCCCTCCTCCACCCCCTGCAAAGTTGTAAAGTTCGTTTTCAACATACTGTCTTGTACATCTCATTTATTACTAGAATGTAATTACTTAGAGATTCAGGGAACCCATTGTATGATCTTACATACTGTCATTTCATGCCCAGTGTTCTTGGCAAATATACCAAATATGACTAAGCAAGGAGAAGATAATAAAGGTCTTAGGTCTTTCAGGAGAAAAGATCTTGGTCATGATACCAGCAGGTAATTTCCTCAGAAGAAATCAGCCTTTGATGTGGGATATTTAGCCTCCAGAATCAAGACAATAAGTTTCTGTTACTTAAGCCAGCCAGTTTGTGAGACTTTGTACTGGGAAATAAATTCAGTCAGCTCTGTATTTTTTTTTCTTTTTGTCAGTTGTGGGGCTTGAACTCTGGGCCTGGGAGCTGTCCCTCAGCTCAAGGCTAACTAGAGCTCAACCACTTGAGCCACAGCGCCACTTCCAGTTTTCTGGTGGTTTATTGGAGATAAGAGTCTCACGGAGTTTCCTATCTGGGATGGCTTTGAACCATGATCCTCAGATCTCAGCCTCTTGAGTAACTAGGATCACAGCCGTGAGCCACCAGCGCCCGGCTCTGTTCAGTTTTTGTTCCCATTCCATATCATCTATAGTTGTCCAATTAAATAACTTTCCATTGGAATCTAATCCACATCTGGAAATAGGAGAGAAGGTTTGAAGGAAATCTTTTTCTTTTCTTCCTTTCTTCTCTTTCTTTCTTTCTTTCTTTCTTTCTTTCTTTCTTTCTTTCTTTCTTTCTTTCTTTCTTTCTTTCTTTCTTTCTTTCTTTCTTTCTTTCTTTCTTTCTTTCTTTCTTTCTTTCTTTCTTTCGTCAGTCATGGGGCTTGAACTCTGGGTCTGAGCGCTGTCCCTAAGCTCTTCAGCGCAAGGTAGCGCTGTACCACTTGAGCCACAGAGCCACTTCTGGTTTTTCTGGGTATATGGTGCTGAGGAATGGAACACAGGTCCTCTTGCATGCAAAGCAAACACTCTACCACTGAGCCACCTTCCCAGCCTATGAAGGGAATCTGGATGAGTGAACTAGTAGAAGAATTTTCAAAGTTTGAAAGAATGTAGCTCACAGAGTCTATTAGATTCTCAAAAGGAAACGTTAACCACAGGGACTAAGGTAGAACCTGGACCAAGTCCTCTGTCCCTGAGGTTGAGAGCATGCCTAGAGACTTGGGAAGAGAAAAA